AATGGAGATGGAGATGGAGATGGAGATGGAGATGATGATGGAGATGGAGATGGATACGATGGTGACGTAGACTGAACCTTTGTGGCTGGGTGTTGTTTGATGGGAATGTCGACAAAGGCAAACATGTGCCTGCTTCACATTGACATGTTCCTTCCCTCTGCAGGTATGGGCATCTTGAGGTTGTAGAGATCTTGCATGAGGCTGGAGCGGACATCTGCGCGGTGAATGTGTTCTCCTGCATAGCTCAGCGTCACGTTCAACTCCCTCCTCTCACACCCTCTGCTCGCAGACAACTGAGGGGAAGCTGACGGCGCTCGACTGGGCCAAAGGTGCTGGCAGGTTGTCTGCGGCTGCTCTGACGGGTTACCGAGCAGCCTATGGGTACAGCGAAGTCTCCAACTTCCTCAGATCGTGCTCGGGGAGGTGAGAGAGTTTGCGGGAGGTGCGATGGGTTGATGACGTGGCGGGCCAGGCGTCAGGGGACGTGTCAAGTGTGCGGGAGGAGCAACTTCTTCGTGCAGGGAGGGATAGCTACGAAGATCTCTTCTATGTGACGGGGAGGCGTGCGGGGGGCAGGGAGGAGGGGCGGCGGGGAGGAGGGCGGCGGGGAGGGCATGGGGGGAGGAGATGTAGCGAGTTTTGAAATCGTTTGTAACACACACTACATTATGAATGAAAGTTGGATGACGACGAAGTTTGGTTGTGAAAGAAGAGAGAGGAAATGAATAAAAGGACCACAAACGTGAAATCTCCCCCGCGCCCTCATTCTGATTTCGCAGAATGCCTGAGGTAGCTGGCGAGAAAACCGTCGATATCCCCGTCCTGTCATTCTAATCACGTTCTAGCTGTTTTGTATGGACTTTTCTCACCAAGACAGAAGCTGCGTCGCCGACTTCGAAGCTACTCCTGGCGTCCTTGACGACCTGAAATGTGACTGCGTCAGAGATGAGCTTCTTGCAAGCTCGTTGAGATGGTTGATGAGTTTCGGATTGAGATGCAGAAGAAAAAAACATCTCAGTCATTTCGCCCGTTTGTGTTTCACTTCCAACAGCCATCATCATCATCATCTCCATCTCCATCATCATCATCATCATCATCATCATCATCATCATCTCCATCATCATCATCATCATCATCATCATCTCCATCATCATCATCACATTGTAGTCTTGTATCCTCGACGCGCACGACTTCGAGATCTCCTCCATCTTCTCGATGAATTGTTTCTGCTCCTTGTTCCACTCCTTCTGCTTTCCCTTAATCCCATCCTCATTCCCTCCCCTCGTCTGCTCCGCCCGCGGCCAGTCCTGTGGTTGCCGTGGCTCCCCTCCCAGCATCTTCATCAAGCCGAAGCGCAGGCGGTCACCGAAGGCAGTGAAGCTGTCAAGGGCGGGGCGGACGTCGAGCTCGATCTGCGTCTGAGAGTTGAAGTTGAACTGCTGCGGCATCTTGCTGTCCACCGGGAGTTTTTCGTTGTGGTAGTAGTCAATGATGTACCTCACCTCCCGCCCGCATCGGTCGACGACCCAGTCATGGCGGTCGAAGGGAGGAGCGAACCCCATCATCTTCCAGACCCGAGCTCGCAGCGACAGCTCGTCCGGCCGACCGGTGAAGCGGAGGAGGCGGGGATCGTCGCATTGCTTGCAGTGCATGCGCTCCCAGACGAGGAGCTGCCTCCATGTCTTCTCGTTCATGTTGTTGTGTATCGCCACCATCATCTCTACGTCGTCCATCCCCACATCCTCTCCCTTCCCCTTCCTCACCAGCGCGTTGTAGAACATCTGCTCCGACGGGTAGACCCATGTCGAGTCTGTCCCTCCCTTGGCTATCCCGGACTGAACTCTGTGCTGCGAAAGGGGAGCAGCTTGTCCGGGAGAAGGCAGCTGCTGTGCCTTAGCTGGCATCATGTTCGTAGGGTCGATAGCTTCCCCATAAACGTTGTACACCTTGTTGTTCTTGTATCGAACCGGGCACCCGTCTCCTCCTCCTCCTCCTCCTCCTGCTTCACTCCCCACTCCTCGAACGGGGCATCCTCCCATACCTGATCCTGATGCTGTTCCTACTCCCGCCTGCTCTCCTCCTCCCGCCCCTCCCGCTCCCTCCGCTTCCTTCGATCCTCGTCCGCCCATCGCGCGTGCACTTGAGCTTGGGCCTTTTACCCCGACCGACCGTACGGTTTTTTTCAGTCAACCCGAGATAAAAATGTTTTTAAAAGCAGGAGAATTCAATTAGCTGAATGCAATTTCTGCTTTACTAGATTAGCAAGGTAGTGTTGAAATAAAGCATTTAGATAAATGACTTTCCCCGGCCCCCGATAGATTCCTGCTCCTCTGCTCCTGCTCCTGATCCTGATCGTGCCCCTGCCCCTGCTCCTGCTCCCTGCTCCCTGCTCCCTGCTCCCTGCTCCCTGCTCCCTGCTCCCTGCTCCCTGCTGCACCTCCTCCCCCTGCTTGTGTTTCCTACTCATGCTCCCATGGTCTACGTTGATCGCCCTCTTTCTCTTTTGCTTTCCCTCAATTGGTTGCCTTTTCTGACTGCCTCCTACCTCAGTTCATTTTCATCACCATGCCGTCCCTCCCAACTTCTGCTACCCCTCACTAGCGTGAATGCCTTCCTCCCTCTGCCAAACCTTCCAGCCCATCCTCCTCGTCCTTCTCTCCCTCCGCCTTTCTACCACTCTCCCACCGCACAACCAGCACAGCACTCTAGCATTCGGAGGACCCAAGGGCTCTGCGTCAATGAGAGGATGGTTTCAAACATGCGCCCGCCGCGGCATGAGCGACGGAAACGTGCATCCAACTATGATGGCCGTCGCCGACGAGGCTTTCAATGTGGCACCAATGATGAAGCACACGCACAAGCACTGGAGGTACAACCTGACTTGCTGCTCCATGATACCTAACGCTGCCGCTCCCTCCCTCGCTCGCTCGCTCGCTCCCTCCCTCCCTCCCTCCCTCCCTCCCTCCCTCCCTCCCTCCCTCCCTCTCTCCCTCTCTCCCACCCTCG